ATGCAAAGACTGCTATGCAGCTTCCCTTCTTTCCTTCGCTGTTCACTCACTCACTCCTCCTGCACCCCAACAAACAAAGCTTCCACAAGCAACACGCACATCGCTGCACGTGCCACTCGGGTCGTTCTGTTTTTCTTTTTGGTTTTGTTCTTGTGGCTATGCACACAACAACAACCCCAGACACACACACACACAAAAAGGTGTGTGGATGAAGCAGTGTCATTCAATGCAAATACACAACGTGTGTGTGCTGTTTTCCAGTGAGTGCCAGTGCCAACAACCTGCTCTGCCAACAAAACACACGCACTACCATTGTAGTTTGTCTATGCATGTGCATATGTGTGTGTGCAAACAACGCAACGTTGCTCACACAACACACAATACACAGCACACACAAGTACAATGGCAGCACGTGCCCATCAGCAGCATGCAGTGCGCATGGCTCTCTTTCGAAACAACACACAACACTGTTTCGCATCAAATGTACTTCATCCACGCATGTGTGCGTGCCCAACATCATCATCGTGCTCACAGCACAGTTTGCCTCCACTCATGATCGAGTGTTGCTCAAGGCACCCTCTCAAGAAGAACAATCCACACCGCTCTCACGGCGGGATTGCCTCCTGCATGCGCAAGCTTGGTGTCATCAAGGACAGTCGCCACCTGCCGCTATTCAAAACAGCAGACAGCGCCCACCCTCTATCAGAGATCACAGCAGAGAAAACACACTTCCATGTGCCTTTGCCGTCACTCCGCCAGCGGCTTGCAACTTGCTTCAACATCATAGACTTTTGGCTCAACACCAGCAATCCATGCAAAGCTTTGCTTGCTCTCGCTCGCAATACTTCATCGACCCGCATGTCACAGCGGGCTGCGTCTTGCCTCCAAAGGCAACCACAGCCACACCCACAACACACAGCTGACAACGTTTTGTTTTCACTGTGCCACATCCACGTGTGCAGCAAAGCAACTGCCAGCCACTCCCCAACACACGAACACATGTTGGCTCATCGCCCTTCTCCCAACGCACAGCTACACACACAAGGAAAATGCATGCCCGTTCATGCGCACACACGTCATCTACGCGCCAGGCACATCGCTGTGCCCGGGTCTCAATGCACCATGCGTGCAGGCTTGCTTCCTGCGTCTCGCTATGTCACATCACTGTGAGGAGAGAAGAACAATCAAGAGCCAACAATGCGTGTTCGTGTGAGAAGAATGTCCAGCGCTTCACACTGTCACACTCAGAGGAGGCTGAACAATCAGCTCGCCCTCTTTCCGCAAACACAGTCGTTGCTCGCCACAAGCGCATATGTCGTGTGTCGCTTTTGCTTCTGTGTAGTAGAGATGCGTTTGCTCATGCGAGTGATCACAAGAACACACACAGAGACACGAGCAATCGCTTGCTCGCCTCCCCACATGTGCCTCATCACACCCACACACAATGCTCGCGCATCACACACACCAGCATCCACACACACACACACACGCCTGTGCTGTTCTCATTGCATGTGCTGTGCATGCATGTGTGCTCCTGCAAGCTTTGCTCACAACACACATAAGGGTGTCGCTTCGCTTTGCCCGCACTCACACACACGCACACTTCACACACACATACAAATGAGGAGAGAGGTCGCTCAGAACACAGCAGATCCCAGACCCAAGGAGAAAGAGAAGTTGTAGCTGCAAGGGCGCAGACGCGGCTTTTTCGTGCCCGCAAGCAATCCTGCTCAGCGACATTCGCCTTGCTCTCTTGCTTGCGCCTCTACTCAGCGGGCTCTTGCCTTTGCCTTCTCTTTTTCTTTTTTG